ACATGCTGTGACTACTTTAACACACCCTGTTTTGTCACCTCAAGAGCAGCAGTTGTGTCCTACTCACTTTTGTATCTTTACCATCTGGCACACAGGACCTGGTATACTCTAAATATTCAATAAATATTGACTGCATTAATAAATTTTAGAAATGACTGTGAAGGCCTAAAGCCTGAGGCAAGATAGATACTCAAAAGAAGCCTGGCAAAATCTCCCCTGCCAAGCCAAATAAGGAAGCATTTCCAGAACAGCCAGATGCAACAAACTTCTCAGGAAAGTAAAAATGGGGAGTGGGGTACCCAAGCCTGGGAAATTAACAGCACTGTCTAATAGGGGAGCTGACTCTTACCCCCAGATACTCACGTTTTTCTTGAGCTCATCCCACACCCACTTTGGGAGGTCTACATTAGGGCTTATCACTTAAGCGTTCATCCTGGCCAGGCTTCTATAGTCTTCCCTTGTGTTAGTCAGGATACAATAAGCTATGTCACTAAAACAAATTAAACCTGAAACCTCAATGGCTCAGAAAATGTGTACAGCTTGCTCACACAAAGTCTGAGTGCGTCAGTGCCTCTTCTATCCATCTAGTCCCTTAGGAGTCCAGTTCTGTTTACCTTGTGACACTGCCATCCCAATATCAAAGGAAGGGAGTGAATATGGAGGAGACATACCAGCTCCTAAATGCCTTAGCCTGGAATGCCCACATTTCATTGGCTAGAAGTAGTCACATGACCTTGCCTAATCCTCAAAGGGGCTGGCTGGGAAGTGTAGCCTTTCCATTTGCCTAGGAAGGAATAGAGAGCCTAAAAGAGGTGAGCAGGAATAGTTTTGATCACAACCCTCTCACCTTGAGGAAACTCTCACCCCTTAAAATAAACCCAAGAAAAATAAAAGACCCCTCAATTCTTCCTCATCACCATAGCCACAAAAAGTTAACTGGTATAAATGGGTCATTTCTCATGTTTGTCCTATGAAACTATAAACCTAAGAGCTTTGGTTAGTGTCTCACAGACCATCTAAAATGTGCTGCCTAATTGTGGGCAGTCCCAGGCCTCTGTCTGCCTCAAGAGTTTTGCACTTGCCATTCCCTCCACTTCGCACACTTGACCCATGCAGTGTCTGGTCATAGACCTTTGCTCTTCATTAGCACTCAGAGCAGCTTTCTTTGACCTCTATCAAAGGTCACCACTGCCCCACCCTGGTTACTTTCTATCTCCTTACCCTGCTTTACTTTCTCCATAGCATTTACCACTGCCCGAAATTATCTTCATCAAGATACCATCCAAGCCTGAACTTGTCATACCATTAGGAAACCACCTCCAATCTTCCTTCCCTGTGCACCTGTACTATTCTAGTCCTTAAGACATTAAAATGGTTAGGGGAGTTTAGTACATTACAGTGATTCAAAATATCAGACACATCTCTATTCAGACTGACACATGGGGAAAGACAAACATCAGAGCGGTGACCTGGCCAATGGTGCTCATCAATGACAGACTGTCAGCCTGTGGTCTTCAAGCACCAGGAGGCCTGGGAACAGCAGAGGTTGGGAGTGGGGGATACAGTGAGAGGGAAGGCAGGAAGGGGAGCAAAATGCCAATTGTCATCTGGGTTACTCTA